GGTTTAAATTGGGAGGATAAAGGATCAATGGCTGGCTCCTCACGCTGCGGGTGATAAAGTACAGTAAGTGAGGGAACAAATTGGTCCGAGGTCGGCACAGATCCAAACCCATTCCATCTTTTTCTGCAGCTGATGGGCAGCTCGCTCGCAGCCTTTCCAATTACAGCTGTTAAGCAGGGTGTCGCGGGCGCAAGTTGAGCAGCAGACTTTAAGCTGCTTACCTGTTTCTGGGGGGGGAGGGGGTCATGTTTTTCTCCCAGAAATGATAGCTATATCCATCAAGTCCACATTAATCCTATAAAGTTAGCCGAGTCGAAAGAGGATTAGTTTGCTAAGGCGTTACCGTGTTTACCTGAACTTTGGGACAAACACTTCACACCCACTGACGGTGAGGGGTTCACCAGATGTGACCAGAAGTTTCAGCTCAGAGTGTTCTGCACACGTCGGGCTGAGAGTTCGGCTATCCGAGGCTCGTCAGAGCTGCGCTCACCTTTCCAGTTTGAGTCTTTGTGCCAGCATTCTCCAGTCGGCTCCGTTGGGGCAGGGGGCGTCCAGGCTGCTGCAGATCTTCTGCCTGATGAGGTACGGGATCTGAAAGGCGCTGGGTCCCGCCAGGGCTGTCGCATTATTGTCCCTTAACAGAAACTCGGAGTCCAACGCTCGAGTGTCCTGATGGGGGCACAAAAAACAAGATGTCGTCTTTTTTTTTTCTGAGCCCGGCAAAAGAAATGTCATCATGAATGAAGTTAGTAAAGTTTTAAACAAATATCGACTGTGATGTCAGCAGAGTACTTGCTGGAGATGACTCTCAGCTTCTGCCACACCAAACGTCAGCGTCATTTTTATTAAACTGACCGAGTTACAGCTATTTTTGTGTTCACTATAGTTTATTAGATCTTGAATTGGGTTGATTTTAAAGGTTTATCGGTTGTAGATGCACATTTAGTGATTACTTTCTGCAAGTTCCAGTAAAATCTCTCATTCATGAGATGTTTTGCACAGCGGAGACACACACGTAAAGACATGATCACCTGCCTCTCCTGGTGGCGGGTGATTACAATCAAAATGTTAATGACAGTGGTTGCACAGTCACCGGAGTGCCTGTGCAGAGCGTTACCTTGGCGATGTTGAAGTCGAGGGCAAAGCTCTGCCCCTCCCCCTCCACCTGCCACACGCACAGCTGGCAGGTGAGCTCGCAGGTGCCGAGGCTGAGCCGCTCCAGAGTAAACGTGCAGTGCAGGTACCGCTGGGAACCATTCCAGATGTGGTAGAACGGGATCTCCTGCAGAAGAAACATCGCAGCAGCACAGTCAGAACAGACAGGAGCGCCGCCCGCCTGCCGGCACAGACACCGAGATTATCGTTATTTACTCCGACACTAAATGTAATCATTTGGCAAAAGAAGATCTGAGGCAGAAAACTGACAACTTTCAAGTGAGTCAAAGGCTTAAATGCGCCGTTACTGACAACTGGAGTCTTTAATGGGAGTTAAAGGATGACTGAGTATTACAGGAAGTATAACATTTAGGGTTTAAATGCTCTCGTTGCAAACTATAATATATCTTTAAAAGGTTGTTCTAAACTACACCAGATGGTGCCGTTTGAAATGGTTTATTCTGGTAGTTTTCCACTGATATTAATGTTTTAAAATGTGGGTATGCACTTAATGTAAACAAAGCTATCGGCTGAATTCAACAGTGGAAGCTTGAGGTTGACCTACGGGATAATTAATGTTATTTATTTAGGTAAACAGACATGATGGATCGAACAAGAGTACCGTGGATGAATCTGAGTAAATGTGCTCTGACATCACAGAAGGAACAGAAAAGTCTGAAACATTTGAAGTAACCCACCTGAACAAATTTGTCTTACTGGTTAAATGTTCCAGAAAACTAGATGAAATACTTTCTGTTTTCAAGTCTATTTAGGTTGTTTAAAAAACAAACAAAAAAACTATTTGCATACTTTACTCAAGAAATATGAGTGTAAATAAGTACCAACACATAAAAACTGTCAGACTTCTTGTTCCAGTATGGCTCATCATGTCCCCACTGTTGACTCGTTTTCAGTCACTAACAAGTCCCCTAAAGTCTGTCCACAACTTTTAGCTTAAGGACACTTTAACCATTAAACCACACTTTTATTGATTTGAAGGAAAAAAATGTCTGGATTTAGTTTTTTTACTTTGAATTATTATTTTTTGTCTGGTCTCCATTTTAATTTTTTTAAATATTTATTTATACAGGTAGTCTCAGTAGCTATGTTTACATGGACATAAGTAATCGGATTACACGGCCATTCGGATTATTTTTTGTTGATTCAGCTCGATCCGAATGAATTTGTAATCAGAACGAGACAGGTGGTTTATGCCAGTTCATAATCCGAACGGTGTGCATGTAAACACTTAATCTGATCATTTTATTCTGATCGTGGAAAAGTGACCTGACTGTGCATGTGCGACCTGTGTCTGCCTCACGGATTTCCACCTGGCTAGATGTTAATATGTCGAGGAAGCAAAACTGGTCAGTGAGCGACACAACATTTCTACTAGAAACTTTGAAAGAGCTCAAAATGATCTGTGTTACCTGTAGCTCAGTCAGGGAGTGCAGGAACGTCTCCACCGTCATTAAAACCTGTCGCGGGTCCATTCGGGTGCTCAGGTTTGTTTACGTTCATCACAGAAGTAGAACTTCTTCTGTGTTTTTTTTTTACATCCTAAGACCTGGACTCTTGCATATGTGGATGCCAGGTCGTAGGAGGTTAAGGAGAGTTTACCACCCTGTGCATGTCAGTACTTCTGTTCTGAATCAAACCCCGCTGCATGTAAACGCTCGTCGTGGACGGCTTGTGCCCAAGTAAACAATACATTTGTATAATTTAATCTGAAAACATTTCAATCTGATCAAAGAATTTTGTGCAGCTATTGAGTCACGAGGACTCATTTTATAAGAGAGCTGTTTGGGAGCAGAGGGTGGGGGTTAAGGGCCTTGCTCAAGGGCCCAGAGTGGAGCAAATGACATGACACTAAGAGTGTACACAGCATACTGTACATGTTTCACCATTTTCTTTCCTTATAGATACAGAGCTGTGCAAAATGCTGCACACACGACAAGCACGTCACTAATTAGAATCTAAAACATGTCAACCGTCGTCGATGCACATAACCTAACTCAGACCTAACGGGTTGGAGTTTCACTCCTAACATAAACTGACAATATCAGCGTCTTTATTTCTGCTGCTGCACATGCATAACGTATGATCATAACTCCAGAGGAACAAGCTGGTAATGACGAGAGAGGAAAGGGCTCACAAACTGCTCACTCTGAGCTCACTGAGTGAAGCAGGCCTGCAGTTCAAGCTGCTGACCAAATGGGGGCACTATCACCAAGTCAGACCTGCAACATGGGTCAGGTGAAGCACTGGGTGAAGCACTGGGTGAAGATGTCTTCAAGGAGCTCCGAGGGACTAAAGGCCTTTTCGACTGTGCTGCTGAGATGGAACAACACTTCCAAATGAGCAGGTTCGGTCCACAGAAATCAGCCTCGGCTCTGGCTGCACTGTCGCAGCCTGCGCACTCTTCAGGGACCTGCTGCTTGCATCGTTACAGACAGAACCTCTCCCAGTCCTCTCTGAATAACCTTTGTGTTCCACAGGGCAGCAGTGTGGCTGTTTGTGCAGGTTTGGTGAGTGGATTCAGAAATCCAAAATGTTCAGGTTGCACCGTGTTTATATTCTGCTCTGTATTTTATCTGAGCTCCCTTTGAGAGCGAGCAGCAGCCGGTCTAATCAATCTGCTCGCACCTTTGGGTCAGAGCACAGAAAATACATGCATGAGCTTTAAACACTCTCAAAAGGGTTCCTATGATCAAACTTAGAGGAAGTTCTGCAGGAAGGGGCTAGAAAAATCCTCTTAGTGTGAATCTTTAAACTGAAGCTAAATCAAGCTCTGCACCAACTACAAGGAAACTGGTTTCCATGGAGAGCACGGCGCCGTGAACCTTCCACAACAATAAAAAGTTGCTCCTGAATAACTTTTAAATGATTACAGCTGAACTGTATTTAATTCGTCTGATGGGCTAATTCAAAACGACTCGTGACAACCTGGATTTTAACTCGAGTGCAGCCTGTATACCTGCTGCTGCACTCATTTGACAGATTCAGTCAGGCACTTGTATTACATTTCCCATACTCCTGCTCTGATCCGGAGTGACACCCCCCCCACTCCCCCCAGGGGTCACCCAACACACCTGGTAGCCGGCAAGCAGCTTGCTCCTCCAGTGCGCCTGGGGCATGTCGTGGATGGACAGGCGCAGGTTGTGGTAGCTGTCTTTGAAAAGCAGGACGTGGGGCTCGTCGATCAGCCGGCCCCCGAGCTGCCGCTCCATCTGCATCACCTCCTGATGAGAGAGAAAGTGGCAGCGAGAGAGGCGTCAGAGCTCCTGGAGGGAAAGGGGGGGGGGGGGGGATGTTTACCGCAGACATCATCCAGGTAAATGAAAAATGTGCAAAACGCTCTATAACTGCTACCTGTTTACACTTTCATACAAAAACAGTTCCACCGGGAAGGAGACTGTCTACTCACACGCTGGCAGGGATAAAAAGAGATCTACAAATGGGGTGGGGGTGGGGGGGAGCAGCATGTTCATTGAAAATTTGGACTCATACAGACACACATACACACACAGCATGAGCATGAGGCGGAGCTGCAGAACATCTTAGGATGAGGATATTGTGTCCCAGTATGCAGCCTCAAAGATTGGACCAACTCGAGCTTTTATGTCCCCACAAGGCTTAGACACCCCCCCACCTACCCCCCCACCCTCGTGAGCATGCCCAGCTTCCAGCAACTGCATTAGCATGCAAATACTGCAGCCATCGTGGCCGACCGGCTACCTGGGCTGTGATTAAGTAACTGAACGAGTCATTAGTCAACTGCTCATTGTTCCCGCATGGAGAAACTCCCTAATTTCATTTTTGTTTTTGTGCCAGGAGAGATTTGTAAATGCATGCTTAATATTTTAATCTCTGTGGGACTTGCTCAGCGGACCATTTGTCGCCATCCAAATGACCATCTGGAATGACATGATAATGTCCGCCACATTCTCCTCTTGATTTTTCAATTCACTTTGAGCTGGATGCCTCCCGCTGCACGAGTGTCTACAAATTCACTTTTTGCAAGAAGACGAGAATATCACAGGAGGACAAACAAATAAATAAATAAATAAACAGACCTCTGAAATTAGTGGTTTTGAGAAGAGTTTAGGAAGATGTGTTATTTTCATTTGTCTGAGGGGAGAACAGCATGGAGGAGGAACAACATGCCAGACTGAGTTCAGGAGACAAATCTAGAAGGAAACGGCACCGAGGAGGAGATGTGTGCAGAGATAGTAGCCATATGTTGAGAGCAGCATGCCAGCATGGCTGCCTATTGTATGATTTCAACAAAGACATCTAATTAAGGAAGAGAACGGCTGTAATTCCTGTGTACACAACACTCATTCAATATTCTGCCCCTTTTCCAGGAATATGAAAGACAGATTCCAGTAGACTGAGAGGGAAGCTGCTTGGAACCAACACTCAATGAACATTTCTGCTTCAGCCTGGAAAATTATTTCCCTGCTCGCTCAATGAGTTGCTAATTATACCATTTGCTTCATATTTATGTGAAATGAGAATTTTGTGGTTAGATTTTAACAGTAAACATCTAACCTGTTGTAGATAGCTGTTTGAGTGACACAAGTTTTAAAGAATTAGTTGAATTTTGACTGAATCGATGAATTAATGACTCCTCTGAGCAAAACCAAGAGTTTAAATCAATATTAGTCCAAAAAAATCAAAGCAGTTCACGCAGACTTAAAACTTTATCTCACTATCAAAATTACCTTTTATGATTATGTATATAAAATGTTTAGTCATTTGTGAGCACATGTTTCTGCCAGAATAATCATGTTGTGACCGAAAGAATGAGATCTCGGATACAAGAGACCGAAATGAGTTTTCTCCGCAGGGTGTCTGGGCTCTCCCTTAGAGACAGGGTGAGAAGCTCGATCATACGGGAGGGACTCGGAGTAGAGCCGCTGCTTCTCCACGTCGAGAGGAGCCAGTTGAGGTGGCTCGGGCATCTGTTTAGGATGCCTCCTGGACGCCTCCCTGGTGAGGTGTTCCGGACACGTCCCACCGGGAACAAACCCAGAGGAAGACCCAGGACACGCTGGAGGGACTATGTTTCTCGGCTGGCCTGGGAACGCCTCGGGATTCCCCCGGAGGAGCTGGACCAAGTGGCTGGGGAGAGGGAAGTCTGGGCCTCCCTACTTAGGCTGCTACCCCCGCGACCCGACCCCGGATAAGCGGAAGAAAATGGATGGATGGATGGACTAATATTTATATGCCCCAGATTATAGCAGAGATGTCTCCGTTTACTTCAGAACTCATGAAGTTCTCTCTGTGAGTCAGTTTCAGGTGTTTGTAGTTTAGGGCTGCAACTATCGATTATTTCAATAATCGATTCATCGGCCGATTATTTTTTTGATTAATCGATGAATCGGCAAAAAACCCCACAACATTTTAATTTTCACCCCTTTATTCCAAAATTGAACATTTGACTGACATAGCAATTCACACAAAAACAGGTTGCTATTTGACTATTCTGTTAGTAAAATATTGAATAAAAAAAGTAAAAGTTAGTGAAATAGTTTAAAAAACAAATGTACACAAAAATACATACAAATGTATCTTTATACATGCACAGTATGTAGCTACTTTGTAAAATGTTCATTGAGAGAAGAGTGTAACCTGGATTAAAAGTGTGGATTATTGTAACCTGGATTAAAAGTATGGATTATTGTAACCTGGATTAAAAGTGTGGTTCATTGTAGTGAAGCTTTCTTCTTCAACCATCGACAGAGGCCTCATGTCAGTGATGATCATTTAAGGATGATTTCAGTGAAGACAGCTGCTGCTGTGGTGTCCATGATGTCTGTCCATCATGAATGCTGTTGTTGTTTGTTGTTGTTTTGTGGAATGAGAGAGTAAATATGTTTTATAGCATAATTTACAGCAACTCAAGAAATGCCTTGTTTCACTTACAGTGTTAGGTTCAGGCAAAAGTAGCTTAAAGAGCATTTAAACACACACACACACACACACACACAGACACACACACACACACATAAAAAACTTAATTACACACATTTGAGTAGATGTAATAAATTACTTTAATTCCTGTTTAAATGCAATTCATCCTGCCATACCTGCAGTGTCTTCAAACTTTGCCAACAAATTAAAAGTTGAAGCTTAATCATTAAATTATTATCTTTGTGTTAGATTTATTTATAAATCACATTTAAACACTGCTTGTTCCAATTAAATTAAATAAAAAGTAACACACACGTTCTCTATCACCGTCATTAATCAGATAAACAAACAAACAAACAAACAAACAAACAAACAAACAAACAGCAGCTTCATCTACCAGAGAGACTGACGTTACGTTTTCTCTCTTGGAAACAGAACAATGTGTTAAATTGTAGAGACTCACCTGCAACACATGACGAGTTGTATCAGCTGCAGCTCCTTCCTCCTCCTCATGACTACGACATTTTTACGTTTATCAGCGTGGTTCTCCCGTGTCGTGTCGGCGATTTTCAAAGCGGCATGTTTCTCAGTTTTTATCTTTGTGAAGTTCTCCCACACTTTGGAGGACTTGGGTCGAACAGTTTTCTCTGCGTCGGTCATTTGTAAAATTTACTTATTTTCCTTTGAAAACAGACTCTGCTTTTCTCCCCACTCGCTCTGTTCAACTCGCGCTGCAGAGTTTGTTTTTTTTCCAAACTTTATTCAGTCAGTCAGCATTGACAATGAACTGCCTGTAAACAAAACAAAACGACTCTGCAGTGCCGTGAAAGACACATAATCGCGCGACACAATGAATCGATAATGAAATTCGTTGCCAACGCTTTTAATCATCGATTTTTATCGATTCGTTGTTGCAGCCCTAATGATAATACCCACAATAATAATAATCCATCCATCCATCCATTATCTTTTATCCGCTTCTTCCATTTTGGGTCATGGGGGCCGCCGGTGCCCATGGCCAGCAATCACTGTGCGAGGGGCGGGGGACAACCTGGACGGGTCACCAGTCCATCACAGGGACACATAGAGACAAACGAGATGAACAACCATTCAGTCTCTTACTCTCACCTAGTGACAATTTAGAGTTAACAATCAGCCTAACATGCATGTTAGAGAAAACCCACGCATGCACGGAGAGAACATGCAAACTCCACCCAGAAAGGCACCCAGACACGGAATTGAACCAGGGTAACCTGCTCGATGAGAGGCAGCAGCTCTACCAGTTGCGCCACCGTGCTGCCTAATAATAATAATAATATTATGGTTATAATAATAACCATATATAATTTTATTATTATTATTAGGGGTAGTAATAGTAGAATTAATATTATTTAATGATAAAAAACATTACTCTGTATTTATGAAATCATCAATGTTGTCATATCTAAACTTTTAATTCAACTTTAAACTTTTAATTTGCTACTTCAGCTTGTTAAGAATTCAGAAAAAAAAAATTTATTTTGCTAAAAATTAAGCAATAAAATAGTTCTTCAACCTTAACGGATTAAAAAAAATAAATCATTCAACTCTGCATTTCTGTGACATTTTTGTAGAAAATGTTTGTTTTTGATCTTTCCTGAGAGCTTTGTTGCTAGGTAACATGAAACAGGCCAAATGTTCCATGTTGACATCTGTAGTGTTCATCTGTGGGCGGAGCTTAAGTCAGTCCTTTGATGATGTGTCATGATGATGTCATAGAACAAATGTTATATATACAGGCTGGACTTTGAGTTCTAGACAGTTCTGTTGGAAAAGCAGAGCGAACGCATCTTGACATTATTGTTCTTACGGCGCATAAACGGTTCGTTTTATCTTATTGAAGAAAAGCGTTTAATCGTAGCAACAAAAAGAACAATGTCTTCCCACAACCCAAGAGGAGATCGTGTATTTATCAACTCCCGTTTTAAACGAGGGGTTGACCACACGCAGTCTGCTGAATCAACTGTAAATGTTGATAATTCAGAAAAAGCCATGTCTGCGTTGATGGATCCAAACAATTTTCCAGCTCTGCCAGGAAAAGAGCCAGAAACTTCAGAGGCAAGCAGCTCCGTCGACGTTACCCAACATCAGTCGACACAACCTAAAGAAAGGAAAATCAGCCGGAAAGTACATTTCGGTGTTGAAATGTCACTTTTTCCTAACGGCGTAGAGCGGACTAGACACGTCAAAAAGTTTGATGGTGAAAAGTTTAAAAGATTTTCACCCATCCAGCCCAATACTGAATTTGACGCAAGCCAGAAACACACACCAATTATGAAAAGTA